CGCTCAAGCTGATGCAGCGCGAGCCGCCGCGCGCGCCGGCCGCGCGCGGCGGCGAGCTCGCGCGGCTGGCAAACGGCGGCGCCGAGAACGGCTGGCACGGCGGCGGCGGCCGGGGAGACGGCGGCGGCCTGTTCGGCGGCGCCGAGGGCCGCGGCGGTGGGGGCTGGGGCGGGCGGCAGGGCGCGGCGGCAGACGCGGACGACCTGGGGGACGGGCTGGCGGATGGGGATCAGGATTTGGAGCGCCTTGAGCGCGAAATGCTGCTCCGGGGCGGCGCGCGCAGCGGGCCAGGCTCCTCGCGCAGTTAGCCCGCCCCTGATCCCCTGGGCTGGCTGCACCCAGAGGTGCACGTGCCAGGCTGCGGGCGCGCCCTGCCTCAGGCGCAGCCTGTTCGTGCAGTGAGGGCTTGTGCGCTTGCTCTGCTTGTACCTTCATGTTGTGGTGACCAACCCTTTATGCTGCAGTCCTGGGGTGCACCATCTTGTGCCAGGTGATGCATGTTTTCAAGAGCTCTCCTCGTGCTGTTGTCATCACATGGCCGGGGTTCGGCTGCCCTCCCCAGCCCCTGTGCCGCCGCGCTGATGCTTGCTGCCGAAGCACGCTGATTGTAGAGGGCTTAGTGGGGCGAGGCAGGGACTGCAATGCTGTTGCTGTGTGGACTGTTGACTTGCGTTCCTCGGTTTTCCCTGCTGTCATGTCATGGTGGCTGTGTGTTTTTCAAGCAACTCTGCATGCAACCGCAAGGACAAAAGCGGTTGTGTTGCTACTTCATAAGCAAGTCGTTTGGTCGAGGCCCCTGCCGGCCCGCCTGGTAATATGTTTCAAACCACACACCTAGATCTGCAGGGACTGGCGACCTGGCAGCATCTTTACATCGGGCCCATGCCCACGCTTGATTTCTTGCGCCGCGCAGGTCAAGCGGTGATAGGCCACCGCGCAGCTGATTTGCCCTGTCACACTCAGGCGAGTGCCACCATGTGAGGGCTGAGCCTTTCCCTGCACTCGGCCCTTGTGCGTCCAGTGGGTTCCTTCAAAGTGTCAGTGCCTGCAGTGCATCGGCCTGCGTGTGTGGTGGTGTGCAGCTGGCAGCATACCTCCAGGCCTTGCCAAGCCCAAGGCCTGCCACGCTGTCCCTGAGCTGCTGGCTTTTCGATATCAACCAACTGCATGCAACAGTATGCGAAGTATTTCAACTCTGGTAGAAGCAGCCCTCAACGGCAAGCCTCTGATACCTTTGCCATCGACACACGCGGGCAGCAGCGTGCAGCCATGGCGCCTGTGTGCTTCCACCGACCGGTGGCATCATGCAAGCGCGCTGCGGGGCTGCCGCAGCAGCATCGACGTGCACCCACGCATCAACGAGCTAATATGTGATAATCAAACCATCTCAAAGCAACCATTGTCATCATTTTCCACGCGCAGACGCCGGCTTTCGGCTGCAACTTCAAACCGGGTCACACGGTCACTCACTCGCCGCTTCCAGTCCCCGCCAGCCCATTTGCGTGTGTCCTGCACGAAACCCACACCTTTCTTACAAGCAACGCGAAGTGATTTCAATCCCCTCACGTGCGTCAACAGGACGTCTCCCGCGCAGCAGCCCGCCCATCCACCCCTCAGCTCATCAGCAGCAGCCATGGCAGCGGAGCTTGATACGTTCCTGTTCACCTCGGAGAGCGTGAACGAGGGCCACCCCGATAAGCTTGCCGATCAGGCGAGTGGATCGGCTTTGGGGCGGGCGGGCCCCTGCGCTGCCGGCGTTGCTGCTCTCGCTTTGCCCCGGGCCCCTTCCGCACATCATTGTAAGCAAAAGTTTGTACAGGAGCCCTCCTACTGCCACTGCGCGGGATATGGTGGCCAGATCTGCCAGCCACCATCGCGGTTGCCTTGCGATCGCCCCTGTGATCAACCTTTCCGCGCCTGATCGCGGCCGTCGCACGTTTGCAGGTGTCCGATGCCATCCTGGACGCCTGCCTCGAGCAGGACCCTTACTCCAAGGTGCGTGAAGGGGCGCTAGGTGCTCCAGCAGGAGGCGCAACGCTGCACTTGCACCGCACCCGACGGCGCACCGACCGCGTATGCTGCACAAGGGCCCCTACTGGCCCCTATATCAACCACAGGGTTCACCTACACACACTGCGCACATAAGCAATCTGGCCATCCGCACCTGCCTGCAGCAACCACCCTGCAACTGCTTCCCCCTGTGCAACCCAGGTGGCCTGCGAGACCGCCACCAAGACTGGTATGGTGATGGTTTTCGGCGAGATCACCACCAAGGCCAAGGTGAGGCCACCAGGGCCACCGCGTCGCGGCCGGCCGAACGCCTCAGCTCCCTGGGCTGCGCCCCGCCTTGCCCTGCGGTCGCCCACCGGCCGGCCACCCTGCCGGCCCGTGCGAGCCTCACGGGAGCCGCAACCAGCACCTCGACCCCACGCGCGACGGAACGGCAGCGACCCACGTCCCAGGCGCGCCCGCACACGTGCTGGGCGCCCAGCCCGCGCCGTTGGCTCCTGCTGAAACGTCCCTCTCTCCCTTTGCCTCACACTGCCTCCCACCGCCTGTGTCAGGTTGACTACGAGAAGGTGGTGCGCGACACGTGCCGCGAGATCGGATTCACCAGCGAGGACGTGGGCCTGGACTGCGACACCTGCAAGGTGCTGGTGCACATCGAGGAGCAGAGCCCCGACATCGGCCAGGTGTGTGGGTGTGTGTCTGGGTGTGTGCATGCGCGCGTATGTGTGGTGAGGGAGTGGGGAGGGCGTTGCGGGATGGCTGGACGAGGGAGGACAGGAGAGGGTCGTGCAAGGCGGTGGACGAGAGGGAACGAGGGGACGCGCTAGGGCGGGCCGGCGGGGAAGGGAACAGTGGGATGCCTACTGCCGTGCGGCGCCGCTGCACGGAGACGTCCCGTGCTCGTGGGGCTCACGTGGCGGGGCAGCAACAAAGGACAAGGTTTGACTGCCATGCGGCAGGCAGCCTCTGGCCACACCGCCCCCGGTGCTCCTGACGGTGGCCGCGGGCCGCCACGCTCCCGCCGTTGACCCGTCATCACCGCGCCCCGCGCCGCCCTCGCCGCCCGCCGCCTGCCAGTCCGTGCACGGCATGGGCACCAAGACGCTGGAGGAGGTGGGCGCCGGCGACCAGGGCCACATGTTTGGCTACGCCAGCGACGAGACCCCCGAGCTGATGCCCCTGACGCACGTGCTGGCCACCCAGATTGGCTACAAGCTGACCGAGGTGGGGCGGAGGGCAGGGGTCGGAGGGGTGGGTGGGTGCGCGCTAACACACACACGCACACTTGTATGTGCGTGTATATGGGATTGAGTATGGATGGAGATGAGTGCTTGAGCTTGCACTTGTGCGCATGAGTGAGTATCTCGATGTCTGTGTGCGGTGAAGGAGGCACTGGTTTTGCAAGGCCGTGGGAGCATTTTTGACGCGGGGTAACTGAGGCCGGTGGGTGCTCAAGACGGGACGCGCCAGCGTGCGCAGGCTGTTGCACACCTCCACGCCTGCCGCCGCACCCTCAGCCCCAGCGCCGAGGCGTTCTGGCGCGCCCCCTCGCCGTG